ACCTATGAATATTATATTACAATAGATCCTCCTCACTATTTCACACTGGAGCTTTAAGTTTTGACTCTTATTTCCCAACCTCTCAGGAACAACGATACAATACTGACAACCCGAACAGAGCTGCTCTCTTTTATAACAATAACTGTGCACCCAGTCAGGGAATATTTCTGTCAGAATTTAAATTATTACACAGCTGCTTTTATAAAAAAAAAAAAACTCCAGACATTTGAGTTTGTGAGGTGAATTTTCCAGACTGGCCTCCGTCTCATCTCTCTCCAGCTTTTCGACAGGCATTTGTTCGCGAACACGACGGCGGGCGAAGATGTCAGAGCGCACAGCGACTGTATTAATATTCTGTTTTAGGGTGGATTTTAATGATTCATGTTGCTCCTGCTGTCTCAGGCGGTGTCAGACCAGTCTCTCTCTCTCTCTCTCTCTCGGCAGATTTATGAAGCCAAAAACATGACTAAGTTAGAAAGAAAAAAAACCCAACCAGGCCCTTTAGCTCAGAGTTTAGCAATTGTATGTATCTGCACATTTCCAGAGAGGCTGTCAAGAGTCGGTTAAATCGTTTTCTGGGCTGAATTAAACGTCCAGGAAGCACAACAAAGCCCTGCTCCTGCAGCTCGATGCCACATTCCCCGTGAACACGTCTTCGCTCTCCCTCTGATTCTGAGTGTTGATACCGCCGACTGACTCATAATGAACCCATCTCATCTCGCCATCTCCGCATTGTCTCCCTCTCAATCCCGAGATTATTTTCATCCATGTAATGCTTTATATGCGCGGTGGAATAAGCAATTACAGGAGAAAGAACTATGATATAAGACTGTTTGTGTTCATGAATAGGATGACCAACCAACACCTACCGACACACACAAATAAAAAACCCTATTTGTACATAAGCTAATTCTCTATTCATCATTTGCACATCAAAAGCAATTCACTCTTTCATCGAGACGAGTGTAATTACATTTGAACGCAACCCTCCCAGCTTTTCTTCGGCAAACAGATGGACAAATTTGTAGCTGTGCCACTTTGGAAGAGAGCGAGAGAGAGGGAGAGGAGGCCGGTGGCACAACCACTGCACTGCACTTAAAAAGGACGATGATTGACAGCTGTGGTAACTGTGGCGTTCCCGTCAGGTCAGCCCGTGGCGAGCGCTGTCCTACTTCAATGTCAGCCACAAAGATTGGAAAATCTCTGCAGCTCATCGTGGAGCCGAGCTCTGTCTGCGTGTCTGGACAGGAGGGCTTACCAGGCCTGGGATTTCCGTCTGGACATGCTCTGCCTCAGCCACTTCGAGTGCGGGGTCAGGTGGTAGATCAGCTGTCGGCAGATCTTATCAGACGACTTTATGGTGTCTGCGTCCTGCAGGAGAAAGCACAAACAGTTCAGAATAGAGCTGTAATCGGGACCAAAACATCGGGCCCTATGAGTCTGAACATTGGAAGCAGTTTTGGGCCCGAATACGAAATTTATACTTAATGTAAACTACAAAACTACTATATTAGGCTCTATATTTAATATAATGCAAATTATATTCAAAAATTCAAAACTAACAACAAATTAACTCTTTAATTACTTAATTAGTTGCATATATTATTAATAAAATATTAAATATACATATTTTTAAATCTAATTCTGTCCTGAGTCCAAACCTGAATTTCCGCTTAACATAAATAGTTTATTACAAGCTAATGTAAATTACATTGTGTATATAACATGCAAATTATTATCAAAACTAATAATAAATTCACTCTTTAATTACAGTTGCATACATACATAATAAAAGATTAAATATATATATATGTTTTTTTAATCTAATTTAGTCTGACGATATTGTGAAAATTATTATCAAAACTAATAATAAATTCACTCTTTAATTACAGTTGCATGCATTAAATATTAAGTATGATTATATTTAAATGTAATTCAGTCTGAGCCCGACCTACAGCAGAGGTTTTGGGCCCGAACCCGGCGGGTACGGTCGGGTCCAGGCGGGTTTCGGGCAGAGAATCAAACCTCTGGTTCACACAGAACAGAGAAACTCTAAATGAGATTTTCTGCCTGTTTGTGCCAGAGAGAAAAACATCTTTATTACACTAAGTTTCCTCTATTTTCTGAAAACTTCTCTACCTGCAACATGAACAGAATAAACAATGGTGTGTTATTATTCGTGACGCCCTGAGCTGCTGCTGAACAAAACACACTTTAGCTGGAGCAAGAAAATCTAATCACATGCAGTGTTCAACGGTGGGGGACACACAGGAAGTACACAGGAGAGGCGTCGGTAAACACTGGTAATTTCAGCTCAATAACCATGTTTTGGCTGCTGGTGGTCATTGCCCACATCAAAATAATTCAATATTCACAGCTGGAGGTTGAGGCATACTGAGTTTCTGTAAGTGCACAAAACACAGGGGTTTTATTTGATATGTTAGAGATCAAGATCTGAGAAATAACTGTTAATATAAATATCAAACTATAAATTCAACAAAATGGCAGAAAACTACACATAAAGTCAGAATTAGACCAAAATCTGAATTGTTGGCTTTTCTTTTGCTATTTAACGTGTTTTTTAACCATTAACAGTAAAAAACAGCTAAAAACCAAACAGCTAGAGATAGCCACTGCTAGCTTTGACGAAACCCTGTAATTGTTAAATAAATTGATGAATTTATAAGTTTTAGTGAACTAACATCTTAGTAATCTAGTTTGTTATCCCACAATAATCAGGCAGAAGCTAAATCCAGTCATAAAGCTCTAAAATATCTAAATAAAAGATCTGAAATCTGACTTGTTGGCATTTATTTTGCTATATAACATGTTTTTTAAATCATAGAAATATATAATTCCAAGGAAAACAGCCTGTTAATGTGCAGTAAAAACAAAACACAGCTAAAAACCAACCAAACAGTCAACTATACACAGCAGCTAAATCCAGTCATGGAGAATAAAAATCAGTTAAACTAGTCCCACTAAAACGGTAACAAGCCTAACGTAAGCTTAGAATTATTTCACTTAAGTGGAATTCACAATTTGGTGTTGTCATATTAAATTGAAAGATAATTATTATTAGTTTCATTTAAACAATAGCTCCACTAGCTAGCCATGCTGTTAGCGAGCTAGTCGAGCTACAAGTTGAAGATTGATTAACGGGTGAATGTCAGGATATTAGTGGTTGAAATACAAGCAAAACATTGGGGATTTCGATATAAAAATACATTTGTTTTGTCTTTTTTTGGCATACATTTTTAAACAGGGGTACGATATGACCGGAGATGTAATCTTAAAGGCATCATCAGGACTTCATCTGGCAAAAAAAAGTATAATTTCCTCATTAAAAATCCCCCGAATCTGTAAACATGCTAATTTCTAACAGCTATTCCAATGTCTATCTGCTCATAAGTAACATTTATCTGCAGGATTTCCTTCAACCATCCGTCTGTAGAAGTCGATAACATCCTCAGCTTGGGTTTTTATTGATTAACGAAAGGAAACCATGAGGGTAGAAAGTTTCCTTCTGCAGAATACCAACACGATATTTTGATATTTCAATGCGAGAGAGAACAAGGTGAGCTGACCTTCTTGGGACACTGCATCTCTCGAGCCAGGCTGAGCAGCAGCTCGTGCGAAATCGGGTCCACCAGGTTGAGGAAGGCGGCGTTTTTGTATAAGATGTCGTTGAGCGAGGTGCCTTCCAAGCCGAGATCCTACCAAAGAAAAAAGAAAAAAAAGGGAGAGGCATCATAATTACAGCGAGATGAAACTGTAAAAACATCCTGCAGTAATTACAATTAAGTATTTTAGCAGCGTGACTCTGGACCGGAGGGAAAGGAACGCATTAGTGGAGGTCCTGCTGTGTCAAGGGCAATGTGACTCGAGATGGAAGGAAAAAAGAAGTGTTTAGTTTTAAATATTCATTACAGGAGCTTTTTTCATCTACAGTGGGAGAGTCTGGGGGGGGGGGG